ACTTCTGCCCAGACCACTCCATGCTCGGGGACTACCTCGATCACTCTCCGACCACGGCTCGGGGACTTCGTCGCTCGCTCCTCGACCTGTGCTCAGGGACTGCCTCGATCACTCTCCGACCATAGCTTTGGGATTTCATCGCTCGTTTCTCGACCTACGCACGGGGACTGCCTCGACCACTCTCCGACCATGGCTCGGGGACTTTGCGTCTCGACTACATGCAACTGGCGACTCGCATACAGTTGGGATATTTTTTCTCACTTAGACCTTGCTACAAGGCTCATACCTCGCCTTCCAGCAAGCTCGGGGACTACATCGGTACGATGCACCTACCGGTGCATATTGTATTGCCTGTACGACGATTGGATTCTCAACTTAACTGGGAATTCTTTTTAGACTCTAGCACCACGTGCCTACGTCACCTACTACCAGGCTTGGGGACTAAGTGGGCACACTTCACCTTGCGGTGAATATGCTTGTTTTTCGACCACTACGCCTCTGACGATTAAAGACGCTACGCTTCAAGACACACTTACATTTCTTTTCAAAAATACAAGTGGGCACACTTTCCAGGACGGAAATCTTTTTCTTTCTTCTTAAGAGCACCATACATTCTTCGGACAACTTACTTCTCTGGCGACAACGGTGGTCGGAGATGTCAAGAACTCAAGCCTCATTGTTCGGAGAAGGTTGAAACGGCGTGTCGCATCAGAATACATGGTGCTCGGGGACTAGCTGTGGGGGATATACCCCCGGGTACCACAAGATGGTACATGGGCCACACCATCCGAGGTGGCCCAGCCCGTAAGATCAAGGCGTGCACATTAAGATTACAAGTTGTACTAGATATTATAATAGTACCAAATTGGATACTTTACTTGTAACCTTGTCTCTTTGGAGTATATAAGGAGAGACAAGGGTCTCCTAGAGGACAGGACAATCGGTATACATCTCAATACAATATACCAAAGACACATGACGTAGGGTATTACGTCGATCAGACGGCCCGAACCTGTCTAAATCGTTGTCTCTGCGCCTTTTGTCACCATCTGGTTCCTAATTACGCGCATCCTACCGATAATCTACCACCACGGGCACCCCCCTCGGTGGACTGCCGACCATATTTCGTCGACAATGGGTGACATTATCGCATTGATTTTGTCACCTTCTATCGTATTCTTAGTTTTGGACACATCCACAGGGGATATGAGAGGATACATAATGAGCGTCGTCTTGAGCCAATGGAAGTAAGCTCCATGTGGGAGGATCAAAATCTTGTAGTTTCTGATTGGTCAAGGACAAAGCTTAAGAGCTTTTATTACATCATGAACAATCTTTTCAGGATCACTCTCAACCCTAAAGACAATGCAACAGATTTGAATGACTATATTACTAATGTGTTGTCTAGGTTTCCCAGCAGTGAAAAGTTTAATGTTCTAAGATTCATTTGGGTTGAGCTAGCATATGCCATAGATGATGGGAGGAGATCTTTGCCCTATGCTCCTTACCTCATGTTTGTGATTGAGAGAGTGACTGGCATATGGTTCCCTAAGGATTGTGAGCACACTATTTACAAGATCAAGAATACCCATGTTGTCTTAGGGGGACTTGGTTCAGCTACTCAGCACACTAGTTCTAGAGGACTTGGAGATAGTGGGGCAGCAGGCCTTCACCCTTCTAGAGCTGCACAGAGAGATATTCCTGAGCCGTCCAGGGCTAGGGAATAAAAGAAGAAATCAAAGTGGGAAAAGATGAGTGCATGGATGAAGGTAATCTTTGCTCATTGTGCATATACTTCACAGACTGTTTATGAGGATAGAATGGAGAACAGGGAAGCTGTGAGGCATGCTAGGGAGATGGCAGGGCTGCCACCACTTCCACCAGTCTGATCGCCACCTCGGTTTCTGACTTGCCTCGCCTTTCTTCTTCTCGATGAGGAGCAGGATCAGTCACATGAGCACCATGATGAGCAAAGCAGGATGATCGGAAAGCATGAGCACTCATATGAGCCATTCAACAAGATTATGGATACCCACAGGGGCAGCTTTTTGAGGAGCCCCAATGCAGTGAGGACCTTGGTGTAGAGATTCACCCTACAGAGGTCGATCCATTGTGCACTGAGCAGCTTTGCTTCAAGACATACTCCAGAGACCGCGTCCTTGACGGATCGAGCGAGGCCTTCTACTTGGTGGGGCAGCTCCTCCATGATGTTCAAAGACGCTTCACTTCAAGACACCCATGTTGCCGGACGTGCCCGCGTCGACTCCGACAGTGATGAGTAATTTCTCTTCTTTTTCTTCTCTTTTTGGTATTTGATGCCAAAGGGGGAGAAAATTAGAGGGGTCAACAGTTTTTTGATACCATATGTTCTTCGCTGCTGTGCTTGATGTTCAGATCCGTTGAGAGTAGTTAGGTTGTGAGTTTGAGAGTCGTTTCAAAACTCTATTTTATGAAATTATGCTACTTTGTGACTTAATTTGCTTCAGATATGGACATGTATTCATGGTTACTATTTTAACTTGTCATATTCTGAGTTTAGATTGTTTTATATTCATATGATCTGCTATAGGAATCTGTTTGCTATCTGACTAGTATAGTCGGGGACGGCGATCTTAGCGCCCTATGGGGCTCAAGAAGGTCACTACGGTCAGATCGCCGAGAATCTTGTGTGCTTGAACTGATATAACTTATCATATGCATCACGTTTATTCCTATGACACTTTATTCAGCACCCACAACAGGCATGGATGTAGGGGGAGGTTCCCATCACACATAAAATGTGAATCATGACCTTTTATGCCAAATTGAAAATTTAAATCTTTATTCACATATTTAGGGGAAGGCTCCTACACCCATGATTCAAAAATCTTAGTTTAGATTTCATATCATTTGTAAGCTCTAATTGGGTTGTCATCAATTACCCAAAATGGGAAGATTATAAGTGCAATCAAGCCATATTGTGGGTTTTTGTATTGATGACCACCAAATTAGAGGACTAATGAGATTTATCGAGATGACAAGCATGGAATCAAAGAATGAGGATGATGAACAGGTTACAGGTGTCCTAATTATACAAAAGGTGGCTAGACCTAGCTCAAAGGAGGTTTAAATTCTTTTATGTTTTGAATTTAAGTTTAGGAAAAGCCGTATTATTAAGAGGGGTTTTAGGACAGTTGGTCAACTGTTGAATCAGATGCTCAAATTCACAGATCTATATCCTCCCACCTAGTCAAAATAGTCAGCCAAATTTCATATCATATTACCTGTTTTGGCTAGGACGGCAGTGCCGCCCTGTTAAGAGCGGCAATACCGCCCTTAATTGACCGTTGGGCTCGAGGGGTATTTATACCCTTTAGGCCCGACCCACAACGGTTATCTTCTCCACTAACTCACTCTGCTAGAAAACAGACAGAACCAAAGCTCACCCCTCTCCTCCATTGTTGCTCCTCCATTCCTCAAGCTAATCCTTGATTCCAACCATTAAAACTTGAGAGAAAAGGCAGCAAAACTCGATTGAAGAGGAGATTCACTGATTCCCAAAGCCTAAGAGCATTTGGTTCACGTTTGGCCGGCGGTTCTAGGGTTTGTTACTCTTGGAGCTTGCTCCTAGCCGGCTAGGCGTCGCCCTTGTGCTTACCAACTCGTGTGGTAGCCTTGCGAGGTTTGTAACCTCATTCGAAAGCTAAGAAGTCACCCCTCACTTCAAGAGTTCACTTTCTTAATTTGAGAACGAGGGTAAAGCAAGCCTTTGTGGCAAGTCAAGCCTTTTGTGGCTTTTTCAACAACGTGGACTTAGGCAAACCTTAGTGGTGAGCTGAACCACGGGATAAATCTTGTGTCTCGCGTGCTTTATCTTCATTATACTTGCTGTTTACATTATTGCTAGCTGTTGATAGGGTTTAGTTGCTCGATTCACTTTTGTGTGAAGTTTCTGTGGTATCCAGTCTTCGAACTGGATCTTGACTCTATATTACAGGATTAAGCAGCTAGTGGTGTCAGGTTCATCTCTGTTAAATCTCAATTGTGTTAGATTGTTTTTTGTAGAGCGGCAGTGCCGTCCTATAAGGCCATCAGTGGCGCCCTCTGTTCTAACAGAGTTTTGAGTTGAATTTTACAGACCTATTCACCCCCTCTAGGCCTTTCTTTATCTTCCAGTAGATCCTACAAAAACGTAAATAAATTTTAATGAATTTTGTGGTATACTGATGTCAACAAATAAATGCATATTAGTGGATCATGTAGCTTGTTGGCATAGATAACTTATTTGAATAATATATGCTATAATTGTATGTGTTTGTTCAAATTCATATCATGCAACGTAACCTTTTGTTTAGAGTGAAATATAATAGAATTAAAAATAAAGGAGATAAAATGAAATGAAAATAAAAATAAAGGAGATGAAAATAAATGAAAAATTAATAGAGTAAAAAAAATGATATAAAATATAAATAAAAATAAAGGAATTCACAAAAGAAAGAAAATAAAAGGAAAAGGTAATACAAGCAAAAAAAGGGAAAAAAAAACCTATACGAGTTGGTGAAAAAACATGAAAATAATGTATGAAATAAAGAAAAATTAATAGAGTAAAAAAGAGATATAAAATATAAATAAAATGAAAAAAGTAAATACCACATAAAAAAAGAAGAAAATAAAAGGAAAAGGTAATACAAGCAAAGAAAGGGGGAAAAACTATGTACGTACCTATACGAGTTGGTGAAAAGGGTTAAGCAGACATTTAAAAAAAATGTTTATTTTGGTAAATTAATTAATCGTAGTTCTCATGATTTACTGTAACAAATAAAATGACCGCGTGGTTTGGATGATGGACATGAAGATCGTCGACCACGTCGTCAGCGCAACAGGTACGTCCAGAGAAAGATCACGGAGCAGCTTCACGTCGAACAGCTGAGCCATGGTCTCTTTAATAACTAGAAGGATAGCGCCATTGATCGGTTCAGAGTTCCAGCGCGCTAATGTTGAGAGGCACGCGAATTGAATTTTTAGTGGAATAGTGTGGTATGCTGAGCCCTCGCGGCTGGACGACAGGACAGGGGGAGAGGGGCCTGCACTGCACCCTTTCCATTTCCGAAGCCCTGCACGCGAGTCAGATTTGTTTCAAAGACATGCATCGCGTGAGTCTGATCAAAACGACCATGGGCAGGTTTCCACCTAGGATGAGGGTGATGCAGTCGTGCCATTGTTGCAAAGTTATTACCATTTCCCCGTGAGTAACCTGAAGAGGTGCTGACAGACAGCAACTGACGTCGGAAGAGGTGCCCCCTCGTCGTCGGCGTAGGCAGCTGAATGCTCCCTCGTCGGATTTCGGCTGGGACCAGGCACTGGATGCAATTATTTGGAATGCATCTTGTGATACAGCTTCCAACCTGCCACTTCTGCATGAGGCGAAATGCTGTGTGTCCATATGAAAAGGCCATCAGCTCAGCTGCCCAATGCAAGATTTGTCCAGAACTCAGACTGATAAAGGACAAGAGAGACTCGTGTATTTGCATATATATCATTTGTGAACAAAGAACGAAGCCGACGATGCATGCAAAGGTAAAAAACTTACAGCCATGGACAACGACGTCGTAGGAGAGTCGTCGCGTGCAGCTGAATGCTCCTCGTCGCTGTCGGCTGGGCACTGGATCTTTCCCAAACGGGCTGCATGAGGCCGTCTATCGTGCAAGCAGACTGATAAACTAGACTCGTGTATGCGTATATATATCTGTGAACAAAGAAGAAGAACAATTATCGCGTGAGCGGCAAATGGATCTTTCCCAAACAGGAACAATTATCAATATCAGGTTTCCAAGGTTTCCTGCATTTGTCAGTAGAGGCCATTGTTGATTTATGTTGTGCATATATGAAGGCTAGCCGGAGAGGAATGAAACATGAACTTCCACTGACGAAACTGAACCTGCTGAGCAGAAGGCCATGATCAAGCCCCTAAAGTGCTGTGGTGGCTTCAAGATGTTGCAAGCTATCCAACCCAGAGTGCCACCAATCATGAACGTGATCCCTATATTAACTGGCATAAACCACCTGAAGAACAGAAGGCGTGTGTTCATTAGCGCACTTAGAACAGTTGCAAACTACCCTGTTCGTTTGGCTGATAAGCCATGGCTGAAAATACTGTTTGCTGATTTTTTAAAGAGAAAAATATTGTTTATTCGCTGAAAAAGTACGGATTATAGCTTATAAAAGTGCAGACTTTCAGTGACTGCGTTCAGTACTACTTCTTCCTCAAGGCTCTGAAAAATATGATGATGCATACTACTACTCACCAAGAAATGACGTCTGCGAGCGTGACCGTCTTCGCGAGGCTGGCGAACATCAAGCATGGGGTGAATACAGTAAAAACAACCTGTCAGCAATTTAACTGAGATTAGGTTTTGACAACGTTCACTAAGCTAGCTAGCTGTGAAAAAGTTGTGTGGAGGAAAACTGACAGAACTCACCTTGTTCATATCCCTTCGAGCACTGGTCGTCAGAACGTTGCTGAAACCAGAGGCCAGGAAAGCTCCAATGGCACCTATGAGCAGGACCTGGACGACTGGCATAGAAGCCACCAGAAACAATGAGAAGAAACCCATCCTCGTCTGAATTTGTAGGATTAAGCCCTTGTTGATCTGCTTGATTGGCAAACGCTAGCTTAAGGACGATTCCAAACGTCTCCTGAATACGTGGCAAGAGGTTATCCGAATTCTGTGCAGGATGTTCCACCCTGGTAAAATAATTCAGAGAAAAGGGGAATAAGCATCTGGAAGAATCTGAAGGAAAAAAAAGCAGGAGTTCGTGGTTACAATGATAAGGCCCTCCCTACTCTATAGCGCATTCTGGTTGAGATTTGAAAAGGACAACTCCACATTGCTTGGACCGCATGCAAGTTTCGTTTTTTTTTAAAGAAACATATTAGATGCAAATAAAAGGCAGAATTTATCCCTGGAAATGGGGATAAACAGCAGAAAATACAGGTCCATTCATAGCTTTTGTCGGCCCTGTTCGCTTCTCTTATAATCTGTACTTTTTAGTTTGTTTTTTCAGCCAAAACAGTGTTTTTCTCTCACAACAAATCAGTCGAAATAGTGTTTTTGCTTGTTTTTTCAGCGAAGCGAACGGGGCCTTTGCACGCCCCTTCCAACGGCTAATAAGCGTGCCGGTCTTGTACTCATTTCAGGAATGTCTACCTGGACGCATGGCCCATGTGAATTGTGCTGGCAAGTCGAGGTTCATAAAGCTTAAAATGCAAGGAGGAAAATGGCAGTTGCTCAGCTGGATCATGCATGCATTTCGGCAGTGACCTGACCAATATACAGGTACGGTGTTGCGAGTCTGAAGTCTTCATCGATAACCAGGCACGGTACCCTACCCGAGACCCCCCCATACGACGCGAATCAAAGCCCGGACACCAGAAGAAAACCAAGCAAGAAAAACAGAACTAAAAGCTGTGATGAATTGATGATACGGACGGCAACAACAACGCGCAAGACGGCGAGGAGGCTCACCTGATCGCCTGATGTAGGAACGCGCGATTGCCGGCGAAGGAGACGACAAGAGAAACTTGTGGCTGACTGACAATGAGACGACGGCGGAACGGAACCGTGTATCCGTCTATCTGTTCCTGCGATCCGGGGTCCGGGGAGGGGAGAATGGTGAATGGGAGATGCGGCCTTTATATACCAGGCCCGCCGGGTTCAACTCAATAACGGCAGCACCAACAAGGCACAGCCGCACAGCCAGGCGAGGCGAGCGCATACACTGCATCCACCCGGGCGCCAACGTAGCGGTCAGCTGTCGGCTACGGCACCTGTCGCCGTCGTGTTACCTGTCCAAGTCCTCCTGCTCTCTCTCCCTCTGTTGCAGTGGCCAGTTCAATCTCGTCTGCTTGGCTTGCTGCTGATTAGTAGGAGTAAGTACTCGGTAGGAGCAATTAATTATATTATTACAATTGGTGTACTACTTGTGAGCGTTTCGCTGATTCTTTGCTTCCTGTTACGTGTGCTCGTCTCCATCCTAATCTCATTCCGATTGGGCTGGCATGCTGGCTGCAGCTAAGAATAATTAACGCACATGTATGTGTATGTCTACTTCTTCTCCGTGTCTTAGCGATTGCGAGATTTGATATGCCTAGGCTGACTGTGATGCGTGCATGTGACAAGAACCCAAATCGTACTTGGTTTACACAGCCAGCCGCCGAATTATCATTTGCAAACGCAACCAAACATTTAGCACATCTGAATCATGACCGATCGATGACTAGGATGACAGTACTACCATCCTTCGCAAACGCAGCGATTGTGCTAAACCTATACTGGTCCGATCCTCCGGTCTTCCGGGAGGAGTAATGATGCGTGCGTATCACGTTCGTGTTTTAATGTTGTGCTAAACCTATACGGTTGGCATACATGCTAGTAGTCCTGACTTGTGAATCTGGTCAGGGATGGATGGTCAAGCGAAGAATGAGAGCTTCCTGTTCAACTGGGTGTTCAGTCAAAGCGAAGAATGAGAACACATGTGGAGACGGTGGACAACGCGCGGAGGATTTTGCGAGGCGAGAGGCTCTCGCAAACACAGAGCACCGTGTCACGGACGGTCACAACTAACCCACGTTCAAGACGTACGTACGGGAAATAAGTTGGCGGTAGAAGAGAAACATGCGTGTGAAATCAAAACACGTTAGGTACCGTTTGGTTGAGAGCAGAAATGGAATGGATGGTTCTAACTCTGTTTTCTAGAATAGGATGGTTTCTATTTTTGTTTGGTAAGTGAAATGGGATGATCCATATTTTCTATTTGGTTGGGAGGATAGAGTGAGACTGAGTGATCTTGTCTCATGTTTGATGAAGAGATAGAGATAGGATATCTCCATATGATCACCTCCCTCATAATGTAGGTATTCTTACCACCTTTTATATTGAAGACATTCTGTTAATAAATAGAATGGCTTACCATTGCTATTGCATTCCGTAACTACTCTGTCTCACCATTGCATTGACTAATTCAAAATTAAATTATCTCTTAGCATCACGCACATGTATTGCCATCTGAAATCAGCACAGATATATCTAAAAAAAGACATTGCCATCTAAAATCACCACAAATATATCTAAAAAAGATAAACGCATATGTAACATTCAAGTGCACAGTTTGCCATAAAGGTTTTAACTCACATATATTAGCAAGTGCCAAGACTATAGGTCATGCCAAGTTCTTGGACACAATAGAAGTTCAAGGCTTATACATAACAGTTCTAAGCCTTACAAATAGTATAAGTTTTAACCTACCACATAATATACAAACACATGATAGTAAATTCAAGGCTAGTCACAATATATAGTTCGAGCCTTGAAATTAGTTAACCACAGCTAATTGTCTCATGTGGTGCAAGCAAAAGAAACATTGAATTCCTTATTTCACTGTCCTGGGAACCTTGCAAGCAAAAGAACCATTGAAGCCCATATTTCACTGTCCTGGAAATCTCTCAGAGACAAACATAGCCACCCACATCAACTTATGGTCAAAAGGAAGGTTGTAGAATGTGTGTCCCATGTCTTTGTTGGCCACTAAATACTGGTAGTACAGATTTAACTAGGCTGCATCGAAACCTGAAAGGTTAATCAACATGTTGAATAGATCATCTGGTAAATCATTGGTGGGCTGTGGTGGGGGTGCAACACAAGCCTTCTCTATAGCTTCAGCAAGTCTGTCACCAACACGACTGATTACAGCAATCAGCCCATCCTCTTCATCCCCACCAATCCTAGCTTTCTTTGGCTTGCTTGCTAATGAGGTAGCCCCTTAGATTAGAAGGAGAGGGAGTGGCCTCACTCTCACCATTTGCATTCAACTCACTCACAGTATTTGCATTCAGGTCTTCATTTTCAGTGTTAGCTTCTTCAGTACCTAATGCAGAATTTGAGTCCTTGGCAAACTTTCATGTTGCCATACTATTTCCAAAGATTGTCCGCATCTCATCATAGTTTGGAAGGCGCTTGTTCAAGAATTCAGCATCAGCCTTGTGATCCTACAATGGATAAATGGAAGTTTAGTTAGAAGCAAACAATTAGAACATAACATGCTGGTTAAGTTTTTTGTAATTATACCTTAACATAGTCATTGTAGTGCTCCTCATCAAGAGTGATAATGAAGTTGTCCTCATCCCAACCAGTAGCACTCACTTTTCTAAGCTTGGTCATCTTTGCAAACTTCCTTTGTTGTGTCTTCAAATGATTTTTAACTTGCTCTCCAGTCTTCATGGTCCTGAACTTTTCATTGACAGCTTTAGCACAAGTGTTCAAATGGACTTTCTTAAAGCCAGAACATGTCTTTGTGCCACTAGCCACCAGATTGGCTAGGTGAGTCAACATAAAAGCGGTCTCTGGTGCTGTCCATAGAGCATGTCCATTGGTTCCCCCAACTTCCTCGTTCAAGTCTGCCATGACCTATCATATACAAAACCAGGAAACACAAATGCATGGATCAAAAATGAATATGTCCATCAATTTTAGCAAGACATATGTCGGTGCAGAAAGTAACCAACAAGTAAATATTTGTAGTTTTGCCGTACGTTGTGATCGGAGGTGGCCTAGCACTCAATGACACAGGGTTTATACTGGTTCAGACAACGTGCCCTACGTCTAGTTTGAGTCGGTCGGTGACTTTATTCCTGAGCCCAGGTGCTCGAAGTTTGCAATCGAGTTACAAACGAGAAGGAGAAAGATGGGGGGTACAAGAGGTCCGGCCGGGCTTTGGTCGAAAGGGCCGAGAGCGATAGGAGCTCCGCTATGAGCTAAGTGTTCAAGCATGTGCTTGTGGTTCGAACCTGGCGGTTCGGTGGTTGTGTGCTAGTGAATTTGGTCGATCTAATGAATCTGGAATCACCTAAATGTTGGGAGAGAGCGCATCCCCTTTTATAGATGAAGGGGATGGCCTTACAAGTGAGAGGGAGAGAGTACGTATGCTTCTAAGTCTTGTTGCCCATGCCGGCGGGTACAGGATGATGGTAGGCGCCCACAACACTGTTGGATGTTGGATGCACGTGGGAGGCTACGTCGTTTTGTTCGGGTATGGCAGATATCGGTACCTGCTATACTGTTGATGTCCAGAGGCATGTGAGGAGTTTCACCATGTTCACTCGACATGGTAAGTGTCGGCGCCCACAACACTGTCGATGCCCAGAGGCATGTGGGGGGGCTTACCGTATGGGAGTTAATGGCGCCCACAATACTGTAGAAAAAAATATCGGCGCCTACAACACTGTGTGTCAGGGAGGTTGTAGAGTACTATTTCTGCAGGCGTATAGGGTACCGTCCTTGGTATCGTGGTTTGACTTGTGCGCCCTGCCTTGCTTTCTCCATTCGTTCCCTGGTCCTTTCCGAGCAGGCGTCCCCGGTCGGTTGGTCCCAGTCGACTCTGATTGCGCCAGTCGGAGAAGATCATTGAGCAGGGTTTTTGCATACCCCGGTCGGAGACGTGGGGTCAGAGTCAGAAGTAGTGCTTTGGCTAGGCCTTCCGGTCGGAGAGGCTGTCCGGAGGTGGGCTGGAGACCGAAGTGAGCGCTCCGGTCGAAGAGGTGGGCCAGAGTCGGAAAACG